CCCCCCCCCCCCCCCAACAATTTCAAGACAGCGCTTTTTTCATTAGTCGTTTGTCGTTGACATATACGTTTAAAACGCCGGAAAATCGTTCGCATTTATTCCCCTAATTCCACCCGCAACCAAACGGATCCTCTCGACAAAATATCGTCATTGCGTTGCTACACGCCCATTTTCCTCAAAAGAACGAGCAGCTCAGCGAAGCCTATCATTCATCCCGCGAGGGTATATAGCACACCTTTCCAATTAACTCGAGCTTTATAACTGTCCACCGTTGCGGTTGCGCCATTGGGAGCACAAAAATAATGACACGCGCATCATAAACTTGGCCCTTTCGCGCTCAATCATCTATAGAAGAAATTAAAAATGATCCTTTACCGAGGAGTCACCTAAAACCATAGTTGCCTTTTAAAATACGATTGTCACACAAAGATATACGAGTGCCGGCCACACGTATGCGCAATGACCGTAATTATTTATGGTACCGTGGAAATGGCACTCGAATGTACAACCACAAAATATACGAGTACTTTTAAGAGACGCTTTACACTCGTACGTGTTTCTTGGAAATCAAATATAAAATTCAGCATTATTTTACGCATTATTGCGACCAGTAGTTCGCAAGACAGACGTATAATCCCGTGTCCCAAGCACCAGATTTGCGATACTCGGGCGACTTCGAGCCCCACGTCACCCGTGCAAGATGGTCCGCGATCGCTTGTTTCGCATCGGCTTTTCCGCGATGTTGCAAGTAGGCCAAGATAAACACACACGGCAGGTAGACATCAGGCCCACGGACAGGTGAGCCGCGCCATTAAACAAAGACGCGAGCTTTCGTCGGGCGCTCCATCTCTCGCTCGGGTTAACGCACCGATCGCCACTGACCGTGAATTCGCGACGCTCGGCGCAGATTACCTGTCTGCTGGCCGAGGGGATTTTTCTCAATATAAATCCCTCTCGATCGTCAAGTTACGTTTTTCGCCGATGGTCCATTGGGGAAACCAAACGCAAATATCGCACGTGAATACGTGCAATCGTCGCAGTAATGATACATTTTGTTCATCCCAAGGCGTGAAGGTGAAGTTAGTTTTCTAAAATAAATCCCGCAGGGCACGGGTTGCAATACGCGGAACACGAGGTTTCGTGAGTGACAGTTCGTTGTACATAATATATGGTATATACCACACGTTCAACTATACGTCATGTATACACTTGTTGGTTTTTCAGGTCGACAATTGGAGGGAATATGGCACACGGCGATCGTCGCCTACGGGCGGGAGTATTTCTTCGGCCCCCAGGGAATACAGAGCGTCAGACCGGTAAGTTTGTATACGTGCTTACAATGGCCCAATTTAAAGGAGCCGGTACAAGTGAAAAACGCACCAATGGCCATGTAAAAATCCTTTTTTTTTTTTTTTTTTATTTCTTGTTATTACGTGTTCGTGGTTGACCCCTCGAAATCGACGTGTTTTTAGATAAAAATGCGATGCTCCCCCGTTTGACGCTACACGAACAGCACGTTAATTTATAGTCTAAGGCCAGAACGATAATCCTCACCTAAATTCCACGCGAGCTCTAAACTATACCGATCTTCGTGAAAAGTCCACGCGGAAATGGAGGAAAACGATCGAGCCCCCACACCGAGCGCTTTCCCCCGGACGCTGGTGCACGTCGCGAAGTTCTTCCCCAGGGGCCGATTGTTTATCCGTCCCACTCCCCCCTTTGACGTATACGTACCACAGAAGCGTGTATATACAGGCGAGATATCGGGCACAGTTAAATTTGGCGCGACCACCCGCCGAAAATAACCCCCGACTCCCGGACTACTCCCGCATTCCAGCTATATAGCTTTCTCCGGACGACAGCGGCGCACAGCTGCCGGCTCTTCTTCCGCAAAGAGAACCGCTCGGGCCGAAAGAGCGGAGGCTCATCTTCTTCTTACTTTTATCTCTTTCTCTTCGGCAACGGAAGGTGATGCGCGTGTGAGATTAATTCCATGTACACAAGTGCCCGGTGCACACGACGAAGACGAGTCTTCGACTACGTCATATATATAACGAGTAGGGCGCGCGCGCGCGAAAAATAGAGAGAGAGAGAGCTCTCCTTCCGCGTGAGCTTGCGCGAGCTTGGGTATTGCCCATAAAGCAATCGCGCGCTGCGGCACCGCAAGTTTTTGGCTCCTTTGGCGTTTTTGTTTTGCACCGACTTCGAGAAAGAGAGGGAGAGGAGGAGAGAGAGAGAGAGATACGCCTCCCGGTGAGTTTTCCTTGATGGCGACCCGGGTGTGTTGGCTAATTTTTTTTTTTTTTTTTTTTTTTTTTCTTGCTCGTAGTTAAGTAATCGGTTTATGCGGCACAATTATACCGATCCGCGCTACGTGTACCGTGACGTTAGATTAATTTTGGCCGGCTGATGAATGTCTCGCGGAGAGACCACGCGTCGCGACGACTGTCTCCAAAAGCTCGCCCATCTACTTGCAGTAGTGTATTATCGAAGTTGAAGCGCGCAATTTTCTGTTGTTGTCTTTTTTTTCTCTTCAGATATATATAATATTTACTATTGAAATCGCAGGCGTTCGTTTATTGTGCAAAATGTGGCGTTTGCTCGCGATTGATGATGGATATTTTTGTTTCTGGTAACAGTATAACGAAATGATGAGTTCCGTGCGATTCCTCCTCAGCCAAATATTTAATCATTGACAATTAGGATAGTAAAAATGACCGGTTTAACAATACAGCGCGAGGGATCAAAAATTTTAATCTCACATTTGTTTTTAAGTTGAAAATCGGCAATCCAATTGAAAGTTTATGGTACACGTAAACCAGTCACATGATTTACAATCAATTGTCTCCGATCGATTGAAAACTCATACCAGTGTACGTGGCTAAAGCTTTCCCCCGTAAACTAATATTTTAGTTGAAAGATGAGCTTTCGTTATCGACGGTTGACGAAATATCATGATTTTTTTTTTTTTTTTTTTTTTCAGGCGGAAAACATGGACGACGACGAGGGAACGAGCGTCGAGGTGTTCGTCTACGATCTCTNTTTTTTTTTTTTTTTTTTTTTTTTTTTTTTTTTTTTTTTTTTTTTTTTTTTTTTCTTCCCTCCGGCTGGTTGTGTCGTTCCGTGGGACTTGCCGATTTTCGAGAGTGCACCGTTTCGTTACGATTTTGTGTTTCGAGGATACCTATTTTTTTTTTTTTTTTTTTCTTTCTTTTGGATCTCGCTCTGTTACTTTTTTCTACGAGTGCCACAAGTGTTAAATTTTACTGTACACAGATGCGAGTGGAATACATCGAGCGTTACATAATTAATTTTTCTCTCGTACACCCTTCGATGGACAGTGGAATATGGATAAACGATCCAAGCGATTTTTCTTCCAAAAATCTGTGCGTACTATTTCCGTCGCTGCCCTAAAGCCGAACGCGAGCGCCCGACATTATGTGTCCAGTGGCCGACGCTCGTATTTTTAGACACGATATACCCGAGTCCAGATATTTGTTTAGCCGCGTAAACATAATTAAAATCCGCGTAAAAATAAAAGCGTCGTCCCCGGCATTGCCACCGACTCCAAAACTATGCTTTTATAGACAGTCTTGCAATTGTTCGGAAAACCCCATCGGATAATCAGGTATACAAGCCATTGGCTCGAACTACACATAAATACTACATGTGAGACAGGAACGCGTAAAACGAGTGCAATTGCTTTGCATTGCGGAAGATTTTCGGCCAACGTAGATCCACGAATATTTTGTAACGCATTGGGGGGGGAAAAAAAGAGTCGAGTTGGCGAGTAGAGAGCGTCGCAAGGGGGACGTGCGTTTTATTTTCGGAGCCGGCGCGATTCGCGAACCCGGAAATACACCGTGTACTCTGCTTCGTCGCTCCGACGACGTGGTTTGCCTGCCTTTCTTTCTCCCCCTATATACACATTTTGTAAAAGCTCTTGCAAGCAACCCTTTTTTTTTTTTTTTCTCCTACGATTTTTTGTTGTTCGCAGGGGGGCACCGAGCTACAGGAGCCACTGAGGATCGAGAAGATCGGCCAGACGTACCTGCCCTACTCCGTGTTCTGGGAGTACATCAACGGACTGGGCACCACCAAATTCGCGTAAGCATCACACCGATTCTCGTGCTCCGCCAACGTGTTATTATTAACGCGACGAATCATCGCCGCGCGATTTTTGCCTTTAACTATACCGATCCCCGTGATCTACCGCAAAGGTAGATAGACGCAGGGAGCGCGTTATTCTAATCGTCTTCCGAGAACCGAAGCGCATTTGCTATTTTTAAACACACCCTCTCTCTCTCTTGGTTGGCATAAATTAACGCTCGCGCGCGAGAGAGAGAGAATCCGATAGACCGAGTTTGGATTTTCGAGGTGGTGCGCTTATTTCGAAATGCGTGAAAATGACAATATTTTTTTTTTCTTTCTTTTTTTAATTATTTTTCGCTCTCCAGGCCCGGCACGTACAATCTGCTCCGGCACAACTGCAACAACTTCACCGACGAGGTCAGTAGTTTCCTCGTGGGCACCGGCATACCCAAGTACATATTGGACCTGCCCGAGGAGATCATACAGACGTGAGTATACATCTTCGTAGAAAGAGAAGGAGGAGGAGGGGGGGGGGAAGGGAAAAAAAGAAGAGAGAAGGAACAAACGAGCGGGCGCCTCTTTTTCTAGGCCCGTCGGGCAAGCCCTCCTTCCATTAATAGAAAACTTGAGCAAGGGTGCCACCGCCGGCTTCAACTCCGGCCAGAGATTCGTCGAGGCGAGAATAAGCAGGGAAGAGTCGCTGGTCGAAAATTCGACTCTCCCCTGTATACCCCTGCTGCGATTAATAATCCATTTGGTAGCACTTTTTTTTTTTTTTTTTTTTTTTCTCTCTCTCTCCAACTGTAAATCGCGACTTTTCATGTTGTCCCTTGCAGGCTCAACTCGATCATCTTGGACGAGAAGCGCAGCGTGTTGAACGCGAAGATCGCCAAGAGGAAGCAGAGGAAGGTCAAAAAGGAGAAGAAAAAGAAAGACAGGCAGAGCAGGGAGAACGGGAGCGAGAGCAACTCGGGGCTGAGCAACTGCACGGACATGGCCGAGAACGGCGAAAGTGAGTGATGTTTGCGCGAACGATTGTTGAAACAAAAATCATTGCGATACTAACCCGATGTGGGTGACAGCCGTAGCTACGGAGAAGCCGGTCAAGTCGAAAAAATCGTCGGGCCATCAGCAGCAGGCCGACGGCTTCAACGGGGAGGCGGCGTCGGGCTCGGAGCCCCGGAGGGTGGCCTCGCCCGACGAGATAGCCCGGGAGATCGACGAGACGGACGAGGAGGAGAGGCGCAGGGCCGAGGAGGCGCGCAAGAGGCGCGAGCCGCCGATCGTTTTCAAAGACCTGCCCGACGCGGCCGAGGAGCTCCAGCTGCTCAGGGACTTGCTCGGCGGCAAACTGACCGAGGACGAGGAGAAGAGCATCGACGAGCTCTACGAGTACCTGCTCAAGGACGAGGGCTCCTGGGCCCTGGGCGACAACTTTCTCACTTTTGTTGGTTGGTCCCTCTCTACCGATGTTTTTTTTTTGAGGGGGAAAGGGATTTCCGAGTACAGCGTTTTAAGGGACGTTTTTTTTTTTAACGCAGGAAGGATCTTTCGGGATGGGGATCTCGATGCGAAAGCTCGGATCTGCTTGGCCAACATATTGTGCATCGCTGCGCTGAAAGACGACGTTATCCTGCTGCTGCACCAGGACAGGAGGGAGCACTCTATCATGAACTTTGCGTACGACATCGACCGGCATCCCATCGAGGAGCAGCTACCGCTGGCTCAGTTTGTGAGTTGTGGTGTTGGAATTAAAGCGTGGGTGAATGGTGTATAAGCGATAACGTTGCTTCGACAGATCGCCAACCTGTTTGAGAATCTCTCGAGCTCGGAGTGGCTGATGTACATATCCGAGTGGCAGCACCAGAACCAGAGCATCAGCAATATCCGGGTGACGACGAAGGTGGCCGTGCACGCGCTGCTCTCGGACTCGGAGGAGCTGCAAGCTCGGGGCGCTGCCATCATCCACAACCTGTGTACCAAGGAGGTAAAGACTGTGGTCTGTATCCTGACTTGTGGTCTGGTTTTCTTTTTATCATCATCTCGCTACTAAGACACATTTAATACACAGCGCTATACATTGTCGTTTCGCTTCAATGATTCTGCTGGGGGTACGCGGCTTTCGATTCATCTCGCTTTCGCAAACCAGCAGTAGCTCACAAACGTACAATACGTAACGAAAATTCGTGAAATGCTTTTAAACAATGCCTAATTTTAATAACGCAAGTACATAACTGTCCTTTCAACAAAAGTGTAAATATATCGGTTGTACCTCGCAATTCAGCAAAACAATATAGAAATGCTGCCTTTCGTGACTGACGAGCTTGCCTCTAACAGATGTGTCACGTATACTGTATATACTTTTCATCCATCTCCGTTTCACGATCTATCTGCTTCTGTATTACATATGACGTTATTTGTTCGATGTTGTTGATTATTATGAGTTTTCTTGGCACAATATACATACGAATGTCATTGTTGCTGTCGTTCACCCTCTTTTCGCTGAACCAAGAAAACTCGCGGTTTTACTAATAATTCGTTTCTCGTTAACAATAACTATCAAAAAGGAGTTCGGTGAATGTTTGACCATAAGTTGAAAAAAAAAAAAAAAAGAAAAAAAAAAGAAAAGAAAAAAAATGCAAGAGCAGATACTTCCTTAGGCGATTGGTGTCCGGTTTATTTTTTGCAGAAAATGAGCAAAAACAAAAGTCTCCGGCAGATTTTACCAAAAGGCAGCATTTCCAAGGTACACACGATTTCTCTCTCAGCAATTTCATACACCTCTACTCGTATCTTGCACACACTCATGCACCGATTTACCGTCAGCTTATTGGCATTGAAAAAAAACAAAAAAAAAAAAAAAAAAAAACGAGCAACACATACATCAAATTTACCTTACTCGTGTGAGCTAATGTGCCATTCTTCACTCGTTGGGCGTAGGTATTCGACGACGTGGCCGTGGAACTGACGATGGCCCTGCTCCAGTTCTTCAATGGCAATCCCGAGGAGAAGCACCTGTACGCTTGCATGAAGTCGCTCGAGCGTCTCACCGAGATCAGCCGCCAGGAGGTGCCGCAGCTCATACACATGATCGGGCCCGAGCCGTCGAAATTCAAAGGCAAGTCCGACCGGATCGACGGTCTCATCGACGACATCGGCAAGAGGCTCAACGTGCACTAGGAGCCAGAGGGACATACACACCCTTGGTCCCGAGTCTCCCTCATCTGTAATACGTAGACGATAGTTATACGTTAGGCTGTACATCTTATCTCTTCGTTATGCCAAAGACCGGCTCTCTTTGGTTTTTTTTCTGTCTCTATGACATTTTTTTTTTTTTTTTTTTTCCATCACTCATGAGGTGTGCTCGTGCGAGCTGTGAAACTGCGTTTCATTTTCCAACACCCCCCTCCCCCCAACACATTTAATTTCGATAAAAGTAAGCACAATTTTCTTTTTCGCCACAGCTCAAGTTTTTATACGTTAAAAAAAAAAAAAAAAAAACTCGCACGATGCTGTTTTTATATCATGATTGTATTTCTCATTGCGTTGGCGTACTATTTTTATCGTTTCACGAATCTAGATGATATATTATAATTTACTGGCTCACAAACAGGTGTAATAACATAGGGTATAGTTATATTATTATTAATTGTTACGTGTAATTGTTGATAATTTATTGTGTAATTTTATCATTGACCATTGAAACATTAAAATTTTATACTAATTTCCATCCGATTTTTCTCCTCACAATTTTAATTTCGAGACTCACGTGGGACAAACAGTACTTGGCTGGTCTCAGTCAATCTGACGTGTACCAGTTGAAACGTGTACGTTGCAAGAACAGAAGATAATAGAATTTTTGAGCGTGTCGACTTTGAGAGACGCTCGCGAGTGAAAACGAGTAAAGTCTAGGGAAATAAAGAAAAAACATGTAATCCCTTCACACTCTGGCATTGAAACTTTATCTAACAGTAGAAGTTTGCATTTTCCAAGGCGTCAACGATAGTAAATCATAGTTTAATTAATCATATCGCATATCAGCCGTAGCCGTGCTAACTATACCTTATCGATAATTTGCAGACATGATCAAGATACACGTGCATTACTATAAATATATGTGTTGTCAAATAAAAGTCGAGACTTGAACGAAATTTTTTACGAAAGCACACGCGTATTGCTTCTTTTTGTCAATAATTTTTTGGAATACGATGGAAAATGATACCACGGGAGTAATAGATGGTATATTGGTCGAGAAAAAATTATTTGCAAATGGACTTTTTTTTTGTTTATTTTATATGTTGTCATGTAGCTGTTACAAATATATAATTTATGTAACTTGAAGAAGACAATTGATAAAAAAAAAAAATAAAATGTAATAGTCATTCAGCAGTTTTTACTCGTTCGATTGGTGCGGCAAATAATATTTCGCGATTATAATAAAAGCAAAGTGTAAAATAACAATAGCTGTACGTAAAATATGTTTGCATTGTGTAAAAATGTATTATATATATATACCACTTAAGGGGAATAAATTGTTCGAGAGGCGAGAGCTTTTGTGACGCACTTGAATCGTTACTACATACATATTAAAAATATACATGATTATTTAAATAAAGAGAGAACTTTTTAAATAACTCGTTTACTTCAATTTCAAAATCCTGTGGTTATTGTGTGTCCTTCTTTAAAGCAGTTCCATGCAATCACCTATAAGTACCGAATATTCGAGTTTAATAAATATCACTGGCTATGATGGAGACTAATGATGGAGAAAAAATTAACGCAGGGCAAGACTACTAGAGCAATTATTCAAGTGGCCGATCGGACGCCGATTTTGCGAAGCTTGAAACTCGAAAGCAACGGTTATTCGAAGAAAAAAAAAAAAAAAGATCGTCCCCATCGTTGACGGAGCGCAAAGCTCAAAAAGATTCCCTCTCGCCTTCCGCGCTTTTGCAAATCACTCCGCTATCTCTCGGCTGTCAAGATAAACTCCGTCTATGTCAACACCCGCGTCGCATCTCTGCAGCTTTGCGCGGAACAACGGCAGATTCGACGCTTTTTTTTTTTTTTTTTTTTTTTTTTTTTCGGTCGCACTGCACCCGCGGAGTACACAAGTACTTGTGTTCCTGCTCGCACGCGCGTCTCTGTGCGTGCGTGGTTAACGAGGTGCGCGATATCAGCGGGAGACGTGGGAGTGGGAAAACGATCGCGACGCTGGTATCATCGTCGTCGTCATCGAAGAAGAAGGAGCCGAGCGGGCCAACTTCGAGTCTCGTGGATTTTGACGATGAGGACGTCGAGCGACACGAGAGTAAGTGCCTCCTGCAGGTGCAGTGCTGGACCCCCCTTTTACTTTTTAACTGTACCCTTTATAGCAATAGTGGTGTAGTGATTGGAAGAGACATTTCATTTTCCCCCTTTTCAGTGACTGAGGAGTGTAACTTTTTTTTTTTTTTTTTCGAACATAGGGGTAAAAAATAAGAATTTACGCCCTTGTAAATGTTTCAACTATCCGTACATATTATATACACTTGTCGCGTTGCAGGATACGCCTATCGACACTGTTTTAATGCCGTTTTAACGACTCTGGCACATTAATTATTAATCAAACATATTCTAGCTCGGTGTATTTTCCGACAGACACGAAAACAACAGCTTATAGTTCACGTGGCCAAAATGTTTTTTTGATTTGCGTAGCGAAAAATCAAGTCGCGTGTCGTCGCCATCTCCTAAAACCAATGTCGAAAAAGTCGGGAAATTCGAGGTGACGGTTGTTGGGAGCGTTTTATCATCGTTTACAAGTGCAATTAAGCGCCACACGCAGTGATTATGTGGGATAATGTTTTAATCGAAGCGAGTAAGTACCCTCTTTTGCTTCCCATCCCAGGGATTTCGTCATTTATCCGTCCATCGAAAACAATAAAAGCCTGATAAGACTCTCCCCGTATATACCTCGGCACGCATCTCCAGTAGCTTGAATTGCAGTGACTCCAGGCGAGGAGAAGACGACCACTAGGCCGCTCGTCGGGGGCGATGAGGGCAGCAACAACCATCACATCAGCATCAAATATGGGGGCAAGAGGATGCACCGGGGTCCGGCCAAGCGGCGCGTCGGTTTCCGGCCGAGCAAGTACGCGCCCATCTTCAAGTGGCTGCCCAAGTACAACAAGTACAAGGCCGTCTCGGACGTCATTGCCGGTGTCACGATCGGCCTGACCATGATACCCCAGAGCATCGCCTACGCCACTCTCGCCGGCCTCTCCGCCCAAGTTAGTCTCTTTCCTTCCTTCTTTCTCCACCGATTTTTCAATTGCCCCAACAGTCGTTGCGACCAACTGCGCATTACCACTCACGATCTCTCTCTCTCTCTCTCTCTCGCGTGTCTTTTATTGGCGCAATTAACCGGCAAGATCGTTTAGTGTATAATACACGTACATGTATCCTTGAATGAGTAATTCCTTGCGCAGTATGGACTGTACTCGTCCTTCCTCGGTGGCTTCCTGTACGCGATCTTCGGCTCCGTCCGGGAAATCTCGATCGGCCCCACGTCCCTCATGGCGCTGCTCACGGCTGAGTTCACAAGGGACATGAACCCCGACTTTGTCATCCTCCTCACCTTCCTCACGGGCTGCATCGAGTTCATCATGGGCCTCTTGGACTTGGGTGAGCACTTTTTCCATTCTTACGAGTCCGTATAACCATGTATGTTTATTAAAAAAAAAAAAAAAAAAAAAAAAAAAAAAAAAAAAAACATGCATAGGGTTCCTGGTGGATTTTATATCGCTACCGGTGACGTCAGGGTTCACGTCCGCCACCTCCGTCATCATCATCGTGTCGCAGCTGAAGGGCCTGTTGGGCTTGAAATTCCAGTCGGTCAATTTGCTCGACCAGATGATCAAAATTTGCTTGAACGTGAAGAAAATCAAGCTCGGGGACACCGCGTTGGGTATCTCGAGTCTTGTCGCTTTGCTGTGTCTCAGGGTGAGCGCGTTTTTTGTTTTACAACGAGTTGATTGGGCCTCACACGCCAAACGGAAGCATATTTTATAAGTATTTTATCATCCGAGTCGCTCGACATCTGTTTTATATTTTCGCGAAATGTTGACTTGGCAAATATTATTTGAGCGTGTGCACGCAAACCACCACCGAGACGCGTAAATTCCTGCATAACGTTTGCTTTCTCTAATGAATTATTGTTGTTGTCGACTCGAGTAAGACCCTACGTGCACTTGTGTGCGTGATTATTATTATTATTATTATTATTTTTTTTTTTTGAATCAATCAAATTTCTTCAAGATGCATGTCAAACTCACGATTACAAGTTACCCCACAAATCAATACACGTATACGCATCGCGATTTATCAAAACTCGCCATCACCGGTTTTTTTCCGCGCAAAACTATTAATGCCGAGATCGGCTGGTATTCGCAACAACCATCGTAAGTATATATACATACTCTAAGTATACCTGTACATTTAACCGGCGATTGATATGATTCGCAGAAATTGAAGGACGTGAAAATAAGCGCGGATCGGCCCATTGTGTCGAAGACGATCTGGTTCCTTTCGGTAGGCCGGAACGCCCTCGTCGTCTTGATTTGCTCGGCCATTAGTTTCTATCTGCACCAAGCCGGACAGACTCCATTTGCGCTCTCAGGTATAATATATATATATGTTACGTCTCGCGTGTGTGTATGTATACTGCACCCACGTGCGCTTTATAAGTACTACTGCACATAAGTATAATGTTGTGTAATATTGCTCGCGCATGTATACACTGTCAAGAGATCGAGGCTTGGAAGAAAAATCGCTCGCACATTGGAATTAATTTTTACAAGTTCCGGTGTGCATGGGGTCATTTGGTGGATAAGCGGTGGTTATAATGTTTGCGTGTGTAACGCTGCTATCAAACGAAAGATGATGATATACCTTTACGCGTCTATGTAGGATTTCCTTCGTTTCAAACGGGCTCATCGTGACGAGAATCGGCAAATCTCTATCACCTCGCGCGTTGCTCCAAATTTGTAAACAAATATTTTACATTGATTAAGTAACCGAAAGATTTCACAATTGTATACCTAATTGCGCACACTTGCTTTTATCAATGATTTACTCGATGTTTTTTTTTTTTTTTTTTTTTTTTTTTTTTTTTTTTTTTTTTTTTTTTTTTTT